AACTTATCGAATCGGTCTAAAATCATTCGGTCAATTTTTTACCAGATGTCCCAAAATTTATGAGAACAGCTGTAATAGTAAAGAATGATTTCATGTTTTTATATATCTAGAACGAATCGCAAATTATTTTGCATAAATCGATTCTTAAACGTGTTTATAACAAAGTTACGTTAAAATATCTTTCTTTGGACAGTTCACAATATGATACAGAGCTTTTGTAAAGAGAATTGAAATTTAAATATTAATATTAAAAAAAATTTTAACGTAACTTTGTTATAAATGTGTTTAAAAATCGGGTTATACTAAAATAATCTAAAAAATAAAAATGAGTCTCTCCCTAAAAACAAAATCCCAACAAAAATTGACCAAAACTACATCATGAAGTTGTTTTTATGTAAGGTTATGTAGAATTCTTATTTAGAGTTATGTAAAAATTTTATGTAAAAAACGTGCAAGTCATTCTTCACTATTAAAATATATATATAAAGCGATATATAGTTTTGACATAGTTGACCGAACACCCATCTTCCTAAATAGCATACACAGATATAATTATGATAATTTTGTTGAATTGTACAATACATACATATCAGGCCTGACCAACTCAAAATTAATTTGCAATCTGATTCATTATGAATCAATCTTATTTCATTTAAAAAGCATAAAAAAAAAACAATCAAATTTTTCAGAAACTCGAAAATTTTAGAATTCTGCAACAAAAGCTTATATGGATTCAATCTAAATAAATTTTAAATTCACAATAATTCATTTCAATATATAAAATGAATTTATAAATTTATTATATTAAAAATTTTTCAATCTTTTAGTACAAATTCCAAACTCACAATATTTATAAATATCTATAATATTCAAGAATAATGGAATGATTGACCCTTTTATTTTTATAAATTTTAATAAAAGTAACAATGTAAATGAAAATCAACATACTATAGATGCAAAAAAGTGTAAGCTATTTCTATGAAAACAATTGAAAAAGTTGTGTATAACATATTAATATTTCTGACTTAATGCTATTGTTAATATATATATATATTTGTAATTTATATTGTAACAAGTTCATAACCAGAGTCAAGGGCTTTGCGTATTGGTTCTCCTACTGCAGAATTCGATCCAGATATAAATATACCGACGGCATCTACAAAAAGTGACGGATTATCTCCGTTATTATATCGATATATAGCTCCACCACTATCACCATTATCGAAATTCATGGATACTCTAAAGACTCCTTTTTTAGTTCCAGTTTGAGTTCTACTTTCTGCATTAATTGCAATCACTTTACCGCAAGTAATACCTGTTACATGACCGGATTTACATACATGAATACCAATACTAGTTATATCTGAACTATCAATGACAAAATAGTTTAGGATTTCTGAACTTTCGCTATCGAAATTTCGTATTATTGGCCTTAATTGGACTATTGAATTGTCTAAATGTTCGATAAAACCCATATCATTTGGTTCGAACGAAAAATCATTCATTGGGCCAATTATGTGTTCCTTATCTTCTAAATAAAATGTTGCTGGAGGAGGAATAGAGCTAGTACAATGTCCTGCGGTTAATATAAAATCCTTATTATCTTTTTTCATCCAAAAACCCGCACTACAATTCGTCAGACTAGATCGAAAAAAGCCAACAATTTTACTTCCACCAAATACAATTGGATGAATTAGATTAATTCGTCTCTTTTTAATTAAATTTGATGGATTAAATATAGTTTCTTCTTTTGGCAAAGGGTTTATTTTTGGATTTAAAAAGTTAACACTATCAATAAATTCTTTGTTTTTCTCATCTTTGTCATCTAAATATATAACAACATCATTAACTTCGGGCTCGATGCCAATTATACTATTAGTTAGACTAAAATTTTGCGACAATTTAACTATTTGATTAAAGTTGAAATTTAATTGAGATAAGGAGTTATTTACTCTTATAAAATTTAAATGAGTTTGAAATTGTTTCAAAGAGTTTTTCACTCCATCGATTTTAGATGGATCTACCGTATTAATATTTATTTGATCGGCTATTACATCTATATATGTTCCTCCAAAAGATGAATTATCTAATAATAGTTGTAATTTACTGTCAATTATAATTAAATTTTTCTCTCTATTTAATAACTCTGGTATTTGTTTGGTTGGCACACCCCAAAAGCTCGCTAAAGGTTCGAATTGTGAATTAACTATTAAACAATTTTGTAATATAAAAGCAAACAGAATTAATAATGATTTTAGATGAATATAAATGCTTCTCATATTTGGTTATGTTTTATCTGTTATCAATTATTTGAATTTAATAATATGACAAAAATTCCAAGCATAATCATAAGGGTATTTATAGACATTAAATATTCCAAGGCCAAACTATTTATCGTTATCTCTATCTTTATTAGTTACATTTTTAAGATACTAATAATAGTTTTTGCATAAATCTTAGTAATATTTGGCTGTTAAGTAAAAAATTTTAACCGGTCAGCTATTTGATACATTGTTATTATTATTATTATTATACGTTAAAACATGATAAATTTATTAACCAGTTAAAATCGGCTGAGTCAAATTTTAGGTTTGGTTACTTATATTTGTACTACAGGCGATATTCTTTATATAGTTATCTCAGTGAACTAATTACACATGGATTTATATTTAAACCGCGTGGCCTTCGGTCACGCGGTTTAAATATGAACCCGTGAGTAATTGGCTGAACCTTATATCCATATAATACTATCTTATGTACTAGTGTTCGGAACCGATTCTTAAAATAGAAAAACCAAAAAAAGATTCTACGTAATACTATTCGTTGTGGATAACCAAATTGTAAATTTATTGCATAAGTTTAAGCCAAAAATTGATAACAACATGAAACTAATGTTTGGACTCGAGTCAACTCGTAGCTTAAAAACATAGTCTTAACTCGAATTAACTCGTATATAGATCTGTTTTTTAATCTACGAGTTGATTTGAGTCCAAATACTACATGAAACAAATAAATATCTGTTTAATCTCTTTATTATTTATATGATTTAATAAAATACTTACATACAGATATAAATGTTATTCCGTGTTTTCATATAATCTACGAACCTATTATTCCTCTAAAAAAAAAAACTATACCATTGGCTCAATTTTAAAAAGTTATACGTATTTTTATTTAGGAACATGATATTTCCACACAACTCTTTCTTAAAGCTTTGATCGTTCGCTGCTACGACCGCGACTTCGCGGTCTTTACCGCGTATTCAAAATTCAGTTAATTTTCAGGCATCTAAGCCACTAAGCCTCATTCGACTTCCATTTTAGTATAACTAATTAAAATGTCTAAAATTAATAATTCACGCAGGCATTGTTATCAAAATGGAATTGGTGGGGTAAAATATCTACATATGCGAAAGAATACTAATAAAATAAAATAGAATGAAAAATAAAATAATATAAAAAAAAAAAAATATATATATATATATAAATTAAAATTAAACACGAGATTGAATTATGTACACGGTAACGAATATAATTCGTTACAATATACATTCTAATTTTACAGATTGTCATCATGGGGATCTCAACGCTTACGTGTAGATTCCACATTTACTCAAGGCGCAATGATTATAAATTAATGCAATCGCGTATACGCTCTACTTTGAATGTGGACGCTCTATTTTGAGCGTAAACGCTCTTGCATGAATTAAGCCACCAAGAATACATAATAATGCCTAATACTACTAAGGTATGTAAGATTAACACGACTACATCAGCAAAGTTATCTTTTATAAAATCTACATAGCTCTATTAAGTTACATAAATGTTATATAAAATTTTTATTTAGATTTACAAACCCAATGTAGACTTACATAGTTAGGATTTTATGCATGACTTAATACAGTCAACTCTCTCTAAGTGCAACTCCTCTAAGTGCAACTTCTCTCTAAATGCAATTAAATAGTCTGGTCCCGGGTTGGAACTTATAACATAAATGCGAGTTCATTATTCTTTAAGTGCAAGATTTTTTTTAGCCAGCATATACAGTATAAAATTATTTTCTCTAATTTCAAGATATATTATTAACCAATTAAATTGACTTATAAATTAAAGTTATTTTTTCTAAGTGCAATATATTTTTTTTAACTTATTAACTTGCATTTAGAGAGAATTAATTATATATTAATTAGTTTTCTTTAAGTGTAAGTTCTCTCTAAATGCAAGATATTTTGTTGGCCCGTTGACTTGCACTTAGAGAGAGTTGACTGTATAATATTTATATAAATTTTATTTATTATTTATATAAATTTTATTTATTATTTATATAAATATAAAAATTATATAAATTCTATTTATATTTATATAAAAATAAATTAAATTACTTTAGCTATTTCTCAAAAACGGCTAAGGTAATCAATGTTCGATATACTAAGTAAAAATGTTCAGCAGGACAGAAAACACTTCCCAAACCCCCAGTTTAAGCTTTAAAATATATTTCTAGCTTTAATATTTAAGTTGAAATTTTTTTTGAAATTTTACATAATTCTACATAGAAATACATATAGATTTATATAAATAGCTATGTAAAATCTACATTGGGTTTATAAAGCTACATAACTCTACATAAAACAACTTTGTGATGTAAGATGGTACAATTATGGAAGGTGAGTGAACTTTAAGAATTAGACAAATACGGAGTGATGCGACACAGGAAAAATTAATCGTTACACTAATTACAATTTTACCAGAGTTCTATCTATAATCGAATCCTGTAAATTGGTTAAATTTTATCGCTACTGAATCATCATTCATCCATTAATAACATAAAATTTCAATCTTTTTAACACATATATTTAACACATGATATTTGTGTATTATAATATCAGTTTTTTCGACGCAGATATATATTTTGATATGTTGTAAATGGTTTCTTTCTTTAGAATATCACATTTATATTATAGCTAGCTATAATAATTAAACCGTGAAAAATTCGAGAATCATTTATATTATTAACTTTAGTATCAAAAGGTTCAATACAAAAAGATTCTTTAGTTTCCTTTTTATATTCTTTTTCATCATACATATATATTAAAGGTAAATCTTAACATAGTACAGATCTTATGCGTATATGAATTAAACTATACAGAAAATCGAGCTTCTAGTATTATAAATTGACAAATATAATTTGAGAATTTCAAAGTAGAAATTTTTAAGTGAGTTATATCAGTTCGTATAATTAGGACTATATAAGCTAAGACCCATTTTTTCTAAATATTTTATCTATGAATCATTAAAATTTTGGTTTAAGGGATTTTCCCTAAATAATACACATCATTTAAACAATACTGGTAAGCATTAATTTGAACGAGCTCTAATTACATAATCTTTATCAATTTTAAAAAATTTACGCGATACATCTTTTATGCAGAACCCGTTTCCTCATCAAACGATGGCAACCCAAATGTTTTTGGATCGAAATCATTCAAAGAAAAAATCATTTCATCAGCACCATTTTTACCCGGATATAATTCTGCAATCATAGGATCTGGTACCCAAATAACCTATTAAAAAGATATTTTTTAATTTAAAATTTTTTTTAACGGAGATTAAAATCACTATAAGAAACCTTACTTTCATGTTTGCATTCTTTGCAGCTTTGATTCCATTAATTGCGTCCTCGAATACCAAACATTGATTCGTAGGAGGGTTACCAATTCCTTCACAAGCTACAAGAAATATGTCAGGTGCTGGTTTACCATTCTTGACATTCGCATCATCCCCACAAATAATAATATCAAACATATCGAATAATTCTCTATTATTGGAGGCTTTAATATTGAAACTTTCACGACTCGAACTCGTTGCAACCTATTCCGTTATGTGTATCTATTATTATAACTTTTTTAATAGGTAAGGCAAAGCAAAGTCTTTCATTCGTGTAATTGTACTTACTGCTATTGGAATTCGGTGCTTTTTCAAATGAGTCACAATTCGCTTATTTTAACAAACAAAAATTTTTGATTTAGATGTTATGACTTGAAAATACAAAAACATGTAATTAATTTATTACCATAGCGCCAGGCATGGGTTTAACAAAAGGAAATCTTTCAAGCTTTATACATTAATACAAATTGACTTTTTAAAAAAAAATGAAAATTTAAAAATCAATTGTCACTAAGAAAATCTATATGTCATACATTTTTTTCATATCGTTCCTTAAAAAATTCATCTGCCGTCATATTAATACCTGTTTCATTTACCAAAAGAACGTCATACTGGATAAAATATTAATTTTATGAAGATAAATTAATTTTAAATACATATAAAAGTGTGTGATCACAAATTTTGTACCTCGTATTTGCGAAGACCTAGCGAACGTGACCTGAGTTCCAATGAATAAGTTTTTCCAAATCTTGCCAAAATTTCAGCTAAAAAAATAAATACATAACCATTATTTAAATCAAATATTAACAAAGCATTAGTATATTGCATATTTGATTATTACATGTTACTTCATAATATATTTGCTCCGTATTCTATAAAAATGAAATTTGATTTATAATCCAATGCATTAGTATGTTAGAAAGTGCATTATTAAACAAACGTATGTATGTACACACCAGTAGCAAACCTGCATTAGCAAAAAAACCCCCGATGTATTTATTATTATTATTATTATTATTATTTATTTAAAAAAACAAATTTGTAAGAGAAAAGAAATTAACCATCCATGTCAAAAATGCAATGAGTTATAAGGGGATCAATGTTCTTTCCTTCAACATTAGTCGATATTTCTGCCATCGTTTTTCACTTATATCTAACTTACTAAAAACTTAAAATTTTATATGCGATATTATTAACATAGATTTTAACTCCCGTAAAAAATGTACAGTTGGCAATTTCAAAATCCAGCATAATGACTTACGTCAAGAAAGAAGGGTAAGAATTATCGTTTAATATACGATCTACAGTAATACAACTTAACTGTTATTAAATTCATGCTATCCTAGCATTTATTCAATATTCGTTTGTCATATGTAAATTCGATTCTTTTGAATATGATCGATTTCTGTGCAACCTAGATAACAATACAAATAGCTCGGCTGGTTAAGTCTAAGCTTCTGATTGAATAAAGTGATCACGTGAGATGCAATATTTTGAAGTATACCAGGAACGGAGCGATATAAATTATTTCGATATGGTTTAATTATGTGCGTTCATAACTAATTGGACAATGCATCAGACGCACTAAAAACGTGAATTTCAGCACTTAAACATCG